AGACTTTGTTTTTCCTGGCTTCCCCAGTGATAGCTCATCAGTGGGAATGGGTAGATTGTTAGAGTCCTTTGGTTGTTTAGGCTTTGTGTCAAGGGGAGAGAGGGAGCAAAACTAGTCCCTTTGAAACCATTTACGTTCATATCAATAGAGAATGCTCATGTTTCTTTCAAGGAAGAAGTAGAAGTGGTGGCAGGAGAGAAGAGGGGAAGGCAGCAGTTCTCATATTTGGAGGTTAGGGCTTCTTTACAATAGGATATATTGAGGGTCTAAGAAAGTTTAATTTTTTTGAATTGTACCTATTGATATTTATCCTTAGAAATTAAAAAGTATTTAAAATGTTAACAAATCATTACTGTTAGATTTAGAAGGACAGAGAAAGAATAATGTTTAGGTAAAAGACCAGTTCTCAATCTAGCAATTACCTTGCTGTTATAAATGTGTTTATGGAAAAAGCTAGCCAGGCATGATGGTGCATGCCTTTAGTCCCAGCACTCTGGAGGCAGAGACAGGTGGATCTCTGAGTTCAAGGCCAGCCTGGTCTACATAGTGAGTTCTAGGCCAGCTAGGGCTATAGGGAGACCCTGTCTCAAAAAGATTAAAAAAAAAGGAAAAAGCCATTTATACCCCCCCCAAATTTAGAATGGTAACAATCTACATATTTTTGTAAATTTCTTTGCTCTGTCATTTGCTTCTGCATTTAGTTTGTTATGATACTTTGTTTTGGTTGAAGCAGCATGAACAAAACCTAACCTTAGATATTTGGTTTATGATATAACATCACACATTTATCATTTTAGTTGGTATCATCTAAACATTGATAATTTCATTATACAGGATCAAAACATACTCCTTATCTGTCACTATTAGTGTCATCAGAATACTCCATTGAAGCTACTGGTGGCTTCCAAAGTGCTAATGTTTTCCTCTAAAGTTGTAATTTCAGTATTGGCAAATATACTGTCCTTTATTTTCTTGGAAGTGACAGGCTGTCTCTAGTCATTTTTGAGAAAACATCTACCAAATACCCAAGTTGGTATAATAACCATTGCACAGTTGTCTTTTCAAGTAAAAATGGTTTTATTTGTATGGTTAAAAACCTCACACTCAGTCACATAAGTGTTTCATAGGAATATTATGTATTTCCTATTTTTCACCTGTAGTATTAAAAAAGATACATAAGATTTAATGGACATAGACATGACTTTTACTGTTTTATCACAGACATTCTTAAGTAAAACTTGATCTTTCATAGCTTCATCCCTTTTTTTTTTTTTTTGGTCTTTTTGAGACGGTCTCCCTGTAGCCCCAGCTGTCCTGGCACTCACTATGTAGACCAGGCTGGCCTTGAACTCACAGAGAGCTGCCTGTCTCTGCCTCCCGAGTGCCGGGATTAAAGGCGTGCGCCACCATTTCCAGCATCTTCATCCTTTTAAACTCTTGGAGCGCATGACTACTGGTAGGCTGGTGGTCTGACCTTTACTTGGGTGAAGGTAACAGCAGTTTTACCTGTTACTGTATTTACAAATGTGAATATAGTAAAAAAGGCAGTTAACAGTATTCTTGTAGAAAGGTTTGTACCCAGGGGTCTGAGGCCTCACTTTGAGAAATGTTAAAATAAGTGGCTTAGATCTGCTATCTAAACCCATCTTTCCACATACAGGATTGAGAACACAAACATATTTTAGGTAGAACCAGTCTCATGGTCCCTAAATTGTTTTTAACGTCGTTGTGAGGCATTTCAGCCCACAGCACAACTCACAAATTTCATTTCAATATTTCTAGATAAATACTAATCTATACAATGAACTTCTAAATCTGTTTTATGAAGGCTAAAGAAAACCAAAACAGTAAAAATTATCAAGATGCTGTGTTCCCAAGCTAGGCCAAAGAATCTGAAGATGAAAATACAGTATTTAGTAAGTGCCTTACTTTAGAACAGGATGAGTTCTACAGAATTTACCCTTTAGCCTGTAAAGAGATTTGGAACCAGTAAGAGATGAGAAAATAAGAGCAAATCAGTCATTGCTGGATAGGTCCAAGACCACCACGGAGGTCCTAGTTCAGTACAGTTGCTGCTTCATAAAAGATTTGGTAAAATGCTCAGGAAATATCCAGTTTCCATGGATTTACCTGTTATAATGAGGTTATAGTTCCAGAGCAATGGCTCTTTAAAACTGTATTTGTATAAAATACTTTTACATGACTTAAATGTAATTCAGCAGCTAATATCTACCAGTAATGTTTTCCCTTGATTTCTAATAAAAAACAGTACAGTGAACAGAACAGATGTTTCTTAGTGGGTGAAACTTTGTAATGCTTTGTTCATTAACTGTAAAAAACAAAAACAAAACCCCACTTTTTTTTTTTTGGTCTTTTTGAGACAGGGTCTGGAACTTGCTGTGTAGACCAGGCTGGCCTTGAACTCACAAAGATCTGCCAGCCTCTGCCTCCCAAGTACTGGGATTAAGAGCAGTTGAGACCACACCCAGCCACATCTGTATTCTTTTTTAAAATATTTATTATTTTTTATTTTATGTGTATGAGTGTATTACCCGCATGTATGTGAGTGCACCCATGTCGTGCAATGCCACGGAGGTCAGAAGAGGGCTTCAGATTCTCCTGGAACTGGAGTTAAGGACAGTTCATAGCTGCCATGTGGGTGCTGGGAATCGATCCCAGGTCCTCTGCAAGAGCAGTCAGTGCTGTTAACCGCTGAGCCATCTCTCCAGCCCTACTCTCCAGCCCCACACATCTGTATTTTTTAAAACACGTACTATAGCATTTCTTGGTAGTACTTAGTTTGTGTGATAGAGTAAGACACTGGAATTTTATGATGATTGAATTAACAATAGATCTATATTCTAACAAATAAACTTAGAAACTTAAAGATTTATTTAATGTGGGTGTGTGTTTGCTTGCATGAGTTTATATATACCACGTATGTGCAGGAGCCCGTAGAGGCCAGAAGAGGGTGTCGGATTCCCTTGGACTAAAGTTATAGGTGGTTTGACTCACAATTTGGGTGCTAGGAACTGAAACTTGGCCCTCTACAAGAGCTGTAAGTGCTCTTAGCTGTTGAGCCTTCTCTCCAGCCCCTAAACTTGGAAGTTTTAAACAACAAATGTTAGTGCACAGTTTCTGTGGATCAGGAATCTGTGTACCACTTTCCCTGGGTTCACTGGCCCAAGGTCTTTCCCAGTGTAGTTGTAGGTGTTGATAGATAATTCAGTGGTCTCAAGGCTGGAAAGGGAGAGCATCTACCTCCAGACTCACAAAGTTGTTGGCAGGATTCATTTCATAGGGTGTTGGCCTAACCTGAGGGTCTCAGTTTAGTTGTTAGTCCTTTTTCAACTTGTGGCACAGGGTTCTCCATAGGGCAGTTCACCGTGTAGCAGCTGGTGTCCATGATAGGAATTAATTTGAGAAGTGATAGATCAATACTTTTGATGTTGTTAGAAGTGAGTGACTAAGTCCAAGGGAGGGGATTTTGCAAGGGTGTAAACACTGAGAGGAGGTGAGGATTATTGGGGCCATTTTATTTGTTTGTTTTGAGACAGGGTCTCCCTGTAACCCATGCTGGCATGGAACTTGCTTTGTATACCAGGCTAGCCTGGATTTTATAGATATCTGCCTGCTTCTGCCTCCCAGTGCTGGGATTAAAGGCATGGCCTACCACACCTGGCCTCTACTGGGCCATTTTAGAGGTTGCCTTCTTCTTTTTTTTTTTTTAATCATTATTTTTCTTAAAAATTTTTTAATAACTACATGATTAGAAGGAGCATTTCATTGCAGCTTTAACAGATTCAGTAACACTCCAGAGCAAGGGTACATCTCTTTCACAAGCGGCTGTAAGTTTCTAGGTTCACAGTTGAATTAATATAGTTATACAATATTGAACTCAGGATAAGCCCTGTAAGACATAAAATTGAATGAGTTTTTAACCTTTAAAAAAGATCTCCATTTCATTTTGGAAGATATTGTTCCTTGCAGAAAGACTCATTGTTTTTGCTACTAACACTGAGATGTTGGAGCATGCATCTCTAATCTGTATGTATCTGATTATTGCTAGTCATAATCGGTTGCACTTGGATCCTTGGCCCCTGTGTATGTCTATAAAATCATCAGGCTGCCTTTTAGAACATCGGAGAACATCAGTGATGTGTCTGTGAAGAGACAGTCCATTCAAGGAGAGTGACTATCTCAAAAACCCACCTCTATGGCACTTCACTTGAAATCTGAATGAGGACTGTGGCAGGACTGTGTTGCTGATCATTCTGCCTCTAACACCTGCTGTATTTAAAAAGCAATCTTTAAGGGCTACTGTTGTAGCTAGGTGGTAAAGCAGCCTGTAATCCTTGGGGGGCTTAGGTAGGAGGATTGCATATTTGAGGCTGCAAACCAATATCCAGTCTCAAAAAACAAAGGAAAAAAGGAATGACATTCTGTGTAACAATGTAGGGATGGAAAAGTATTAGCTATGAAGCATTATTAAAGACAAAGTAGTACTGTTTTAAATCTATAGACTGAATTTTAAATTTGGCATTTTTGAAAGTTGCCTTTTCTCTTTCAGAGATAACTATGATTCTGGATTTTAAAGCCCTGAAAAAGGTGAAAGCTGGAAAATCCAGGTCATAATAGACCTTTTGCTGTAAGGCAGCCTGTCTTCAGTGGTGCTTGAATACCTTTTTTCCCTTGTCTTTTGATAAAAACAATTCTTATGGTGTATTTCCCTGTTTTAAATCATAGTGCTTGTTAAAATTCTGTTGTCTGTTTTTAGACTTACAAATTATATAACACGGAATAGGCAAAATTAAACTATTAAACTTCATTTTTAAAAATTCCACAGGAGTTTGGTCTCTCTCAGTGAATTTTAATGTGTAGCTTTTCTTGGTACATTTTATTTGGATCCATGGTCATCTTGACACTTAGTGTTGTGGTTTAATTACAGGTTTGGGTTGGTCTGTTTGTAAATATCTCTAACCTAGGTGTCTCTGCAACAGGAATCGTACCCATCTTCTTCACCAATATGGTTTGTGGACTCTGATGACCCAAATCTGACATCAGTTCTGGAACGCCTAGAAGATACTAAGAACAACAATTTGGTAAGAAAATAAACCAGTCTGCTTCATTATTTTTTTTTCTCATGGTCTTCTATACAGAAATTGAATGTTGAGAGGTAATATGATAAGAAAGCAAGTTTAAGTTCAAGAGATCATGGGTTTTTATTTTAAAGTTCAAGTTCTATTTTTTCCTCCACCTACCTCCCTCTTTCTCACAGGTATAGCCTTGATTTAGATTAAGAATTAGGGTTCTTGGGGCTGGAGAGATGGCTCAGCGGTTAAGAACACTGACTATTCTTGCAGAAGACCTGGGTTCAAATCCCAGCACCCACATGACAGCTAACAACTGTCCATAACTCCAGTTCCAGGGGATCCGACAGCCTCTTCTGTCCTCCACGGGCATTGCACAACACGGGTGCACTTACCTACATGCAGGCATAACACTCATACACGTAAAATAAAAATAAAAAATAAAATATTAAAAAAAAAGAATTAGGGTTCTCTTCTTACATTTTAACCATTAAACAAAGTAAACGTCTTTGGTAGTGACTGTTAGTTAAGGTGAGAAATGAAAAGGGACAGAGATGAATGCAGGTGTGAAGGGAGGCAATGATAGCATGACACCAATGCTAGTGTGAGGGGATTGCTTGTGCTGGCAAGGCTCTACCAGTCTGTAGTAAGAGCCAAAGGTACTGAAGAAAGCTTGCTTTTGCTTTTTAAATACGTAGTACATAGTCCCTTTCTCTGTGGGGGTTACATCCCAAACCCCCGAGTAGATGCTAATATATAGATCTCTTTATATAGACCGTTTTCTCTAGTACATTGCATACAGTAAGAGATTAGCAACAACTAATAATAAAGTAGAATTAATGGCAACAATTCCAAATAACTTTAAAGTCATTGTTCTAGTTTGTTTCTCCATTGCTGTGACAAAGTACTCTAACCAATACCAACTTTGGGAGGAAAGGGTTTATTCAGCTTACATCTCCCCATCAAAGTTCATCAGAGAGCCCAAGGTAGAAACTCAGAGCAGGAACCTGGAGGCAGGAACTAGAGCACAGGCTGTGGAGGAATGCTGCTTACTGGCTTGCTTCCCTGGCCCCTGCTAAGCCTGCTTTTTTATGCAACACAGGCCCACCTGCCCCAGGGGTTCGAATCCCAACACCCACACAGCAGCTAACAACTGTCCATAATGCCAGTCCCAGGGGATCTGACAGCCTCTTCTGACCTCCGCCAGCATTGCATGACATGGGTGCACTTACCTACATGCAGGCAGTACACACATATGTTGGGGAACCCTGCTGTTAGGGTTGCAGTTTCTCCATGTCCAGATAGCCGCGAAGCGGCTCAGCGTTTGATGGAAAGACTCCCCTTTTCAGCAGGGCGCCTCCTGCTTTCTTCCTGGCTCACTTTGAAGTGCCGGTCACAGATGCCTTATCTAAAACATGACCTCTGGCATAGAAACTACCAGGTTTTTTCTATGTGATAATCAGGCACTGTTTGACAAGAAGCCCACCGCCACATGTAAATAAAGCATTCTAGGAGCATCTATCAACTGAGGCTTTTGCTACTGCCTGCACACTATAAATTCTCTAGTTTCCCCCTAATAAACCGGAGATGTACCACTAAATCTGACTGAGCTGTATCCTGTGTTTCACTGTGCCTGGGACCAGCCTGTGAGCAGTCTTCCCGAAAGAAGCTGCCTTCCGTCAGCACTCACGCGACGCTTCTATGCTCCCCGCTTTGCTCTCCCTGCCCCCCCCCACGGACCGGTGGCCAACGACCGTGGGCACAGGGGGAGCGTCCTGCAGCTAGCCTGAGCCTCCCACAGCTTGGCGCAGAGCCCCCTGCAGATTGACGCAGCCCACCTACAGCCCGCAGAGCCCGCCTGGCAGCCTGCAGCTTGGCGCAGAGCCACAGACCCACAGCGATCTGTAGAGCCTGCACCCGGCAGCCGCGGAAAAAGAGAGCCAGAGAGACCCACCCACCCCGCACACATACACATAAAAATAATAAAATTTAAAAAAAATCTTAAGAAAATGTTTCTTTCCATTTTATAAAAATTAAAAATATTTGTTCTTTGGTTATAAACTCCTAAGTATCCATTATGAGAACTAAATTTCAGGCAAAAAGGAAAATTTAAATCTATAGTTTTTCTGCCTATTATGATCACTGTTGACACAGTGAATATTTTCTGCTAGGTTTTTTTTTTTTCTTTGTTAGCAAAGAATACTGATTTACCTGTCTTTAAATAGTTAGGTCATGTTCTCTATATATGGCCTTACATTCATTTTAAACATTATCATCGTATTTTCTCATGTCATAAAACCCTTATGGAAAAATAGTAACTGTTCTTCATGGATCTTGTGGTTATTTAAAAATAATCTCTTCCGGGGCTGGAGAGATGGCTCAACAGTTAAGAACACTGACTGTTCTTGCAGAAGACCCAGGTTCGAATCCCAGCACCCACGTGGCAGCTAACAGCTGTCCATAACTCCAGTTCTAGGGGATCCGACAGCCTCTTCTGCCCTCCGCTGGCATTGCACTTGCCTACATGCAAGCAGTTCACATATACACATAAAATAAAAATAATAAAATATTAAAAAAAAAACACCTACCCCCAATTGGTAAAGGAATCAATCAGCTAGAGAAAAACAATTTTTAAGTTGACTTGTTAAAGTGTATGTTATAAAAATCTGGAGCGTTCCAAATGCCAGTTATTAGCAGATAGAAAATATGTTATTTTATTGATATTTATAACAAAAATTAAACCCCTAGGAATAAACTTAGATGTGCAGAACTTGTATCAAGAAGACTACAAAATTTTGCCTGGTAGAATGACAGATTTAGATACTGTGTCCCTGGATGGGCAGGCTCCATGTTACAAAGTCACTTATCTCTATAGCCTCATATTTGTAACTAAAATGCAATGCCACTAAAGGTCCCAATAGATTTAATATATTTATTGCTTATTTATGTTCACTTTTTAAGACAAGGTCTTGCTAGGAGCCCAGGCTGACCTAGAACTTGTAAGCCTCTTGGGTCAGCTAGCTTCCCCAGTGCTAGGATTATAGGTTTATGTCACCATGCCTGGCAGCCAACAGATTCATTTCTGGTACTTGACAGAATGACTCTAAAGTTTAGAAGTGTTCTAGTTACTTTCTATTGCTGTGACAAAACACTGACCAAAACCAGCTTGGGGAGGAAAGGGTTTATTTTATCTTACATCCATCAGGTCACAGTTCATCACTGAGGGAAGTCAGGGTAAGAACTCGGGCAGGAGTTGAAGCATAGACCAGGAATACTGCTTACTGGTTAGCTCCCCTCTTCTGTGCTTAGCCTGCTTTCTTATATAAGACCACCTGCCTAGGGGTGGCACTGCCCACGGTGGACTGGGTCCTCCCACATCGCTCAACAATCAAGAAAATGCCTCACAGACATACCACAGACCAGTCCAATGGAAGTAGTTCCTCAATTGAGGTTCCTTCTACCCAGGTGTACCCTTCTGCTAAGGCCTTTTATATGGCCTGCCATTAGAAGGTAACACCCACATTTAGGGTGAGTCTTTCAGCTTCAAATGATCCAATCAAGAAGGTCTCTCTCATTTCAGTTAATCCCAGATCCAGTCAAGTTGACACTCAGGATTAGCCATCATAGGAATTTAGACTTTTTAACTCTTAGATTTGTCAGAGTAAATTACAGTTGGTTTAAATATGTCCTTAAAATGAAAAAACACCGAGACAAGTTAAATGGCTCAACAGTAGAGCTGCTGCTTGCCATTAAACCCAATGACCTGAGTTCAGTTACTGGGATACCACATGGTAGACAGAGAGAACTGATTTTCACAGGTTGTCCTCTGACCTCTATATACATGTCATGGCACAAGTTCCTGTACACATATATACATACAAAAATAAATGTAAAGAAAGTTTTTAAACATTAAGAACATATGTTTGAAGTGTTTGCGTTCAGGCTGGTCTTGAGAGCCATACACGTGGGAGGAATTAAAACCTGGACTAGCATATGTTGACATCTCCAGCAGGATGGTGATGGAGTGATAGACATAGCCCTCTTACCACTGCCTCCTCTTATGAAGTTGATCATAAGCCAGGTCTGGTGATATAGGCCCATAATTCCAGCTACTTAGGAGGTCAGGCATGAAGATGACCAAGTTCAAGGTCTGTCTGAACTACAGAGTAAGTCCAAGGCCAGCCTAGTCAACCTATTGTGAATCCTGCCTCAAAGTAAAAAAAGGAGGGTTGGGACTTACTCAGTGGGAAAATGCTTATCTAGCATGCTTGAGACCCTATGCTCAGTTCCAGTACTATTGAAAAAAAGCTCATGAAGTTAATTGGAATGGGATATAAAATTAGACCCAATTTATAAAGAGTAAATATATTTACATGAAGGAAGAAAAACAAATCTTTCACTCTGTAGTCTCCTTGACAGTTTCTTACAGCCTGGTTTCTAGAGAATAACTATTTGTTTTTCCACTTTTAATTCACTTAGTTTATTATAGTCTAGATTCTGCCAGTTGCATTGAAATTTGTCTCTTAGTTGTATAATCCAGTGGCTCCTTTTCAGTCCCCAAATTGACTCCTTGGTTGCATTTTGATACTGATTTTTCTGTGGTTGAAGTATTCTTCCATTCAACTTTTAGTACTCATCAATAGAGAATTGGCAAATAAAAAAATAATATGATGTATAGTTGTATAATAGAATATTCTGTTATAGTTAAAGAATGTAGCCAGTCCTTCCATAAGAGCTGGATACTAAGTAAAGAGCAAGTTGCAAGTTGTATTTTGTATAATCTGTCCCCTTTTATATACTGTGACTTTTTTTTTTTTTTTTAAATCCACATTTATGCTGGTTTATCTGTCATTCTTTTATTCGGGGTACATATGGGAACCTGTTAATAGAAAACAGAAAAATGCTTTTAGAGACAATGATTGGCTTCTGTGTGAAGCTGAGTGATAAGTGATATATATTAAAGACAAAGCATGTCTGCCTGTGGGAACTGATAACCTGGTGGCGATTTCTGTGAGACCACCAGCCCCTGCTTTTATCTCTCACTCCTCTGAGATGATTCTCCTTGGTATGCCTCTTTATTGTCTTTTTCTTCAGTGCTTTCTCAAATGTGTAAACTATTCTCTCATTTCTTAGGTCATGCTTTATTTCAGGGATTCCTAAACCTGTATCTCTAGCCAGAATTTGTCTCCAGAGTTACATATATGTGCTGTGTCCAGGGAATCTCACTCTAATATGCCATGTATTCAGCTGCTTCTTAGTGCTCCACCACCCTGACATGTTTTCCCTTAATTCTCTTTGTGAAAAATGAGATGCTGAAACTGGTTATCTATGCCTGAACCTGGGAACTTGGAGGTTTCTTTTTTTTAATATTTCTGTTCCCCAAATGGCACTATCTGGTATCGAAGACCTGTCCATTTACCTTTAAGTATTTCTTAGTACCTTCCTGTGGTCATAGTGTCTTACCCCATCCTTGAAACACGTCCAGGGGATGTTAAAAATCAAACTTCCTATAAGATCTACTCCCCTGTTTTTCCTGTTGCTTGATGTGATGCCACCATATTGCTGCTTCCACAGTGCGCCTGTGCCAGGGATCTGAACGTCAGGGCTGTGTCCTGATCACCCTATTTCATTGCATTATGTAGTTAGCACAAATCAGAGCTTATTGGATGGATAGCAGATCCACAATGAAGCTTTTGCTTCCTTTTCTGCATGAGGACATTTGTTTGATCCTAATTTGCTGTTCAGCTTTCTTCATGTCTACTTGGTCCTTTATCTGCATTGGAAAGGTTTGCTCTTTGCTTGTTATTACCCATTCTGAACCTGTTTACGCTTTCTTAGTCTTCCATAAACCTGCTTTTTCCTCTTCATCTGTTTTCTTGATCAGAGATACTGAGGAAACTGCTCCTCATCGGTGTAGTAAGTTGCCTTATTAACTCCTATTCGAATCTGCTAAGTAAATTGCAATTGCTGAGCTTATGTACTGGGAAAACATTAAACAATGAAAAGTACATTTGTACACATGATTTGCTTCGCTTCCTTTAAGTAAATATACCAACAAAATAATCTGCATTTAAAAATGGAAATTAAAGAGTTCTTACAAAAGAAAAATTAGGAGGAACCCATTACAGGGATGATTTTGGAAGCCCTTGTCAAGAAATTCCAATGGACTCTCATATGAACATTTGAAAATTGCCCTGTTCTTTTTTCTATTTCCCTGTCTAGGATTTGTAATGCTAATTACTCTTGCCTTTACTTCTTCACATCTCCTAGTCACGATTCAAAGACTTTCTTTCCCCCTAGAGATAAGAGTTAGGCAATTTGGGAGTCTTTTAGATAGACCCACTCAAGGGGTTCTCCAGTTGCCTCACCCTGCATCCCTGATCAGTGTGGAAGAAGCCAGAGTGGTCTGTGTCCCAATTTCCTATTGGCAATTTGGGTAACCTCTTCAGAGGATGGTATGATAAGACTAGGAGGTAGGAATTGGCTAGGCAGTTAGGGTAAAAAGACCCCAAAGAAAAGTAGCCAGTTTCTTGGCTAAAACTCACAATGTCCTTAGTAACATACACTGTTCCAAGGGCCAAAAATGTCAAAAATATTTGGGAGCTTTTATCTAATCCTTAAGATTTTAGGGTTACTTCTTCAGAGGGGGGAATGTTAGAGTAGCAAAAAGCCCCATGGGGGGTGGATAAAGATGAAAGAGTTTAAAAAAATTCTTCTTGACAGTTTTCCTAGAGATTTCTTGTTTTTCTTTAGGAGAGGCACTTAAGAACCTACTACACAGCTTTCAAAGGCAGCTTAATTTAATCCTTATGATCCTGAGAAAATGATAATTTCTTTATTTTGCAGATGGGGACACTCAACCCAGGGAGTTAGATACTGAAGGTTATCTTCATTCCAGCCAGGGTTTGGCCGACTAGGTGACAGACGCCTCTGTCATTTTGAGTGAATAGCTGTAGCATATGTAATTTTTGTAATCCATATGCAGCCATGCTTACCTTAGGTTTTGTAGCCTTATTAATGCATTTATGTTCTCTTGTTTAAAGTTTTAAGTTTCTAAGATGTTAGCGACTAGAAACTGGATAATGTATGAACCATCCTTTGCCTTTTGGTTGGTGTTATTCTGTTATGTATCACTTTGTAAGGATTATATCTAAACTGTAGCAATTAAAAAATAGTGATTTTTCTTATTAATAGCCCTTAGGAAAATATTATAGGCTGATATTCTATCTATAGGGTATAGTTGAGCAGGAACAAACTTTGTCATTTCCTTCTGGATTGATTTATAGTAGCTGTAGCATTATTCAATGTCTTCTAAGGGCTCTTTAACATAATGCTTATTTACTGAAATGTGTTTTGTAGCTTCGTCAGCAATTGAAGTGGTTGATATGTGAACTCTGCAGATTATATAACCTTCCTAAGCACCTGGATGTTGAGATGCTAGATCAACCACTACCCACGGGTCAGGTAAAGTAAAAATTCTCTAGTGTTCAAGAGCTGAAATAAATTGTCTTAATCAAAAATTTAGGATAATTTTTCTTTTATTATACAATTATTTAGAAGTTTCTATGTTCCTAGTAAATTGTTTTAGGTACTGAAAATGGCCTTTTCAGTCTTTGGAGTTGCTTGTATTTTACTGTGGTAGGTAGGTAGTTGCACCCACCCCACCATTTTGTAATATTCCAGATTTCCAAAAATGTTTCTTCTTCTTTGATTGTTTGCCTTGTTTATTCAGTTATTTTCACTTGAAATACCATCTCCGTAAATCCATCTTTGCCTCTTAAGGTCTAAGGCAGATGTTAGCTAAGAAATTCCAACCAATCCATGACTTCTAGATTTACCTATATAGCTATCAGTTACTGACTTTTTATTGTAATAAATGAGGATTTAGTTCTAATACTATCCAGCCCACTCATAATTGTTTACAAACTCACAATGTTTGTAAAACATTATGTTTAGTCATGAACAATCAGTTTATCATCAGGACTTTGTAGAGCTAGGTTTTCTACTGTGGTGTTTCCTTGTATCTTTTATTTCTCAATGTTTTATAATGATTCTTAGTTTATGAAAGTTGTATCCTATCCCTTTCTGTGGTCTGCCTCTTCTGGAATCTTTGGCTCTTCTGCACCAGTCCTGGATTACTCTCTGCTTGCCTAGAACTAATCTGTTGTTTCCTGGATCTTATGTCCTCTTTCTTGGCTTTCTCTTCCTCATTTGTCTCATTACATCTTCAGGTAGAAGCCCAAGGAAGCATGAGGAAGAAGCAGTACATTTTCTGATTTCTAGCTTTTGAAAGATACGGTTTAGAGTTTGGGGTTCAGAGCAGTACCACATGGGGTTTGAATCTTGGCTCTGCTTATTAACGTACCCTCTTAGGTCAACCCGTAATCACTCTGCATTATTTCTCATTTGCAAAGTAGTTATAATAGTAGTTTGATATCACTGTGAGGTGGTCTCAAAATAAATGGTTTGTGAGTTGGAACATGCAAATTGTTCAGAATATCTCATAGTAAATCCTCAGTAAATTTCAGCTGCTATTATATTTTCCCCTTTGTTTAGTTGAATTTGTAATTTTAAGCTGAAAATAATTTTACCTCAGAATTTCAAAGACTGCTGTTACTTTCCAGCTAATGGTGTTGCTGAAGCCTGTTGGCATTCTGAATCTTATTTATGCATGCCTTTCTCTCTGGAAGCTTTACAGAATTTGTGCTTTCCTTAGTATAATGAAATACTATGCCAGGGGCTTAGCTTTGGGTCTTTTCTCCTTCATTGTGCTGGGTATTCAGTATAAATAGTCTTTTTCAGATTTGGAGTCTTGAATTTTGTTATATTGTTTTCTTGTGTGACAACTTTGCTTTCCATTTTTATTTTGGAATGCCTACTAATTGGACTTTAAAAGGGTTTTTACTTTTATTCTTGAGACAAGGTCTTATGTAATTCAGGCCTCCTAAACTATATGTAGCCAAGGCTGATCTCTTGCCTCCACATCTTGAGTGCTGGGACTACAGGCTTTGCCACCATGCCTGACTATTTTTGAATTTTAGACCTCTTGGTTTGAGTCTTTGGGAGTAGGTTATATTCCTTTTCTTTAAAAAAATTATTGCATTTTTATTTATTGTGTACGTGTGTGTGGATAGGCCATGGCACGTGTGTGGAGGTCAGAGAACAACTTGTGAAAGTCAGTTTTCGCCTACTGTGTAGATCCTTGGACTGAACTCAGGTCATCAGGCTTGGCAGCAAGCACCTTTACCCATGACTTTTAAAAATCTTAATTTTCAGGAGCTGGAGGGATGACTTTGGGGTTAAAAAGTACTGGCTGCTTTTGCAGAGGACCCGGGTTCGGATCCCAACACCCACATGGCAGCTAACAACTGTCCATAACTCCAGTTCCAAGAGATCCAGTGCCCTCTTCTGACCTCCACGGCATTGCACAACATGGGTTTACTTACATACATGCAGGCAATATACTCATACATAAAAGAAGAATAATAAAATATTTTTTAAAATCTTATTTTTCTTTAAACTTTTGGACATTTTACTTAGACAATCATAACTTTTAAGTTTTCTTTTTATATATTGGTGTTTACCTTATTTTCTCAAAACTTAATGACTTAGAGTTGGATTTGGTGACACATGCCTGTAATCCCAGCACTCAGGATGCTGAGGCAGGAGGATTGTAAGTTTGAGGCCAGCCTGGGCTACAAAGCAAGGCGTCATCACAATAAACAAAACCAAAAAACTCTTAATGCTTTAAAACATTGGTTCTCATTATTGCATAAGTTAGCTAGGTATAGCTGGGTAGCCTCTGCAGGTTTCATTTGTTGATACGCAGTCAGATGGTGGCTGGAACCAGTGTGATCTGGATGCTCAGCTACACTTGTGTCCAAGATGGCTTCCTTTTCACTGCTTGCGTATCTGGTGTCTTGGAGTTTTTTTATATGACCCTTTTCTTCACATGGAATCTCATCCACTAGGGCTTCTTCCTAAATAAGGCTTCGGTTTCTTCAGAGGACAGTCAGAAATCTCACTTTTGGCTTCCAAGAAAGAAGTCTGAGTTACCAGGTGTTTTTAAGTCTTAAACCTGAAGCAGGTCCAGTGAAAATTCTGTAATGGTTCTCAGTTAAGGCAAGTCATGGGGCCAGCGAAGGTTCACTGTGGATTGAGACCATCATAGGCTATAACTGCCTGAAGGTGTGATTCATTTTCAGCTTGGGGGTAATCATCTCCAATCTCTAGGAACCATGAGCTTGGAGAACTTTTTCTCACTGGTTCTCTGATTATTCTGTCTTGATCGCATTCTGTTTTGATTTTATGGATGTGATAGAATCATAAATGTGTATATTTTGATACTCTTGTTCTTTATGTCTAATCTTGTCCTGTTTTGCATTGTAAAGCCTGTTCTCAAATATCTTTATGTTTATTCTGTGTTGCTAATTCACATTTTAATTTTTTTTATATACCTTCTGTTATTGCACAGAGAAGTACTGAATGAATGAGTTCCTTGTAGCCAAGACTTGTCATCTGATAGCTTTGGAGGGCCGGAGATTTATAATGCTGATTCCCAGGTACTACCGTCCCACTTTTCTAGTTCTTGGTATAGAACTATTGATAGCTCTAGTTTCTCTGGAGATTAAAACTCATGATATCTTGTTTGGGGTAGGTAAAATCTGCCTTGTTTCTGTTTAATAGTAGGGAATACAGTGTGCTTCAAGGCTTAATGATGTGTTTTGTACATAGGCTTTGATTAGTCTCTCTGGTTTTCAGTCCTCCCTGTCATTTCTACTTTCAGTGTATTTGGTGTCTTGAGTCTAGATCTTCTCCAAGATGCTGTGGGACAATTAACTTCCTCCTTTCTGGTGTCCCTGAACCTGTGCTTTTACTTGCTGTGCTTCATTGATTACTGTTCCTGTTTACAGTCATCTTCTCTAACATAGATGAATTCTCTTTGCTTCTGGTAGTCCCATTCTTTTTTAAAAAAATTTAAACAATTGTGTATTTATACAGTGTTTATTCTTCTGTAATTTTAGTAGAGCCTAAGGAGAAATGGTGAGAAAAATGGTTATTTTTATATGTGTTCAAGTTTTCTTTTCT